ATTGAAGTGCAATTTGCATTCATTTGCCATTTGGTGTTAAACTTTCTAAAATAAGATAATTGAAAATATAAAATATGCAGCTTTGCTGGCTGCACTCTCCAGTAGAGCAGGAGGCAGTGGAGTAGAGATGGGCAAAGCACATTGTCTTGGGGTGGGGGGGAGAAAGCGGAGTCACAGGCTCCCAGTGTGCACTGCTGTTCCTGCCTAGTCACTGAGCTGGAGCCACGAAACAGCTCGGCTGTGGGACTGAAAATCCTGGAATAGAAGTGGTGAGCCAGCCTTTCTTGTGTGCCTGCTTTTTTGTGCTTTGCACTCAAGTATCTTCTACAATCTTCACGACAGCCTTGCAAGGTCACACATCCATTTTCACATATGAGGAAACTGAGGCTCCCTACATCTGCAAGACAAAGTTCAGACCTCTTCGTCTGTGTCATAAGCTATTGGTGGTCTGGCCCTGCCTGCCAGTTTGGCCTGATTTCTGGTCATACCCCCACCTCTGGCTCCATTTCCTACTCTGGAGCTAGACCAAAAGCCTAGCTTCCTGGAATGTGCCACGTTGTTCCGCGTCCATGAATGGCTTATGCTAGGTAAGAGAATGGTTTGAATGTCTTTCTCTCCCTACTTGTTCTCTTGTCCAACTCATGCTCAAGTGCTTCCAAAGCCTCCTGGCTTCCTTCAGGCTGGGTTACTGACTCCCCGGCCCCTGCGCAGTATTATCAGTAAATGCTTACCCTCTGTCTCCTCCAGGAGTCTGACCTAATTGGAGGCAGTGCCTGTATAGCTTTGCATCTCCTACAGCCAGCACAGGACTGGCCATGGTGGCTGCTCAGTAGCTGTCAAGTAGGAGGGGTTTTATGGATGAAGTTTACTGGGCCAGGGTCAGTAACTGAGTGGCAGGGTCAGGACTAGACATCAAGACTGGCCACAAAGCTCCGTGTAGCATTATTAATAGACTTAAGTTTGGGGACCCGAGCTGGGTTTGAGGTGGACTCACTGTTACCTTGAGCAGGTGACTGTCCAAGCCTCAGATTCCTCTTGTGTAGTGTATAAGGTGAGACTGATGACAAGTGAGGGCAATAATTGTGTCTGGGAGCAAGGACAGCCAGCTTCTCTGGCCTCCCTAACCCTTGCAGCCTGACTCTGGAGCCACTCATAGGGTGGAAACCACCCTGTACAGCAAAGCCCCTTGGGGGGAAATAAATACCTACCGGACACCTAGCATGGGTCAATTTGTCCTCCATGGTGTCAGGGATCTTGCCAAGTGCCCGCCAGGCCCCAGCTGCCTCTCTGGCCTGCACTTTTCCCCCTTGCTGCCTGTGACCACCAGGGTCTGCTGCCCAGGGAAATGTGCTTCTGTCCCTTTACACAGACAGACCTGAGTGAAATAGGCGGCATAGGGGTTTGAGCGGGCATTGAAGGGGTGGACAAAGATGGAAAACCATGTAAAGGGACTCAGATTATGAGAGCATGCAGAGTCAGCGAGACCCCACCACTTCAGGCTGTGGGCAGAACAAGAGTACATTGCTCTACAAGAACCACTGGTTGGGAATTTAGATTCTGGTTTGGGGTTTGGGCTTTTTTCTGTATATGCAATTCACATTCCACAAAATTCACCCTTCTGAAGTATGCAATAGAGAGAGTAGTTTATGATATTTTCACAAGGTTGTGCAACTATTGCTATTATGTAATTCCAGAACATTTTCATTACCCAAGAAAGCAGTTCTTTACCCTGTACCTCTTAGCAGTCACTCCCCATTCCTCACTTCCCCCCAGACCTGGCAACCACAAATCTATCTTCTGTCTCTAAATTTGACTATTTGGGACATGTCCTGTAAATGGAATCATCATATAGTATATGGTCTCTTGTGACTAGCTTCTTTGGCTTAGCAAATGTCTGCAAGGTTCATCCATGTCATAGCATGTGTCAGTACTTCATTCCTTTTTATTACCAAATATTATTCCTTGGTATGGCTATGCCACATTCCGTTTATCCACTTATTAGTTGATGGAGCTGTAAGCTGTTTCCACTTTCTGGCTATTAGGAATAACACTGTGTGAACATTTATATATAACTTTTTACATGGACATATGTTTGTGGTTCTCTTGGTAACTATCTAAGAGTGGGAGTATATGAGGGAGGACACAAAAAAACCCAGAATTTATTTATTAAAAATTGTGTATTCTTACATGTTTAAACTTTGGTCACCTTCAAAGTACTCTCTGTTTGATGCAATACACTTACCAAGGTGCTTTTTCCATTGCTCAAAACAGTTTTCGAACTTGTCAATTTTGATACTTTTTGTGCTTCTGACATTTTTTGTTTCACCTCTTTCCCAACAGCAGAACATTTCCCTTTAAGGACTTTTTTCATCCAGGGAAACAAAAAAAGTTGCTCAGGGCAAGATCAGGTAAATAGGGAGGGTGGGACACAGGGTTCATGCTGTTTTTGGTCAAAAACTGCAGAACACTCAGTGCAGTGTTGGTAGGTGCATTCATAAATCATCCTTCATGAAAAGGGCAAATGAACTGAAAGAATCTCCAAAAAAATTCACTGAAGCCAAACAGCCTCTCACAGTGCTAAGCTGGTACACTGATGTCATTGAGTTCCTAGAACATTTACCTGGCAGAGGTAACCTATATATACTACAGGAGGCCTGCCCTCCAACAGATAATTCCAGTTTTTTTGGGGGGAGAGAAGCCCCCCCTTGTACATATGGGAATTCTCTGTGTAACTTTTTGAGGATTGTTGGCTTGAGTCTTGCCTCACTGTTTAATTTTGGTGAGTCATTCCCCCATACTCCCCCTACCCTGGTCCCAGTCTCATTTCTCCTCCTTAGCCTTTAGAAAGTGATTTGCTTGGACAGTTGAGTGTTGTGCATGGATGCTGCACATGCTGCCCAGGCAGGTGCTCAGGGGCTGTGTCAAGCAGCACTGCATCATCACTGCTGTGTCGTCTCCCCTTCCCATACTCCCCCTCCCCATGTTTCTTCCACTGCTGAAGCAAAGAGCCTCTGAGGCTCCTCCCTCAGTGGGAGCAGTCAGAGGCCAGGGTCCTTCCTGCTTTGAGGCCTAGACCCACGCACGCTCTTGGCCTGGGTGCCGGAACAGCCCTTGCCCCTGCCATCTAACTAGGCTGTGTAGAGCCTTGTGTTTCAGCCACCATGGATCCATTTCCCATGGACTCGGCAAATAAAACCATTTCGAGAGCAGCTAAAACCACGTATTCTGATACATGGAAGGACAGGTGAGGGTCTGGCTTCTTGCAAGGGCTTTGTGTGCCAGTGATCAGTTTACCACTCTGCCTGCCAGGCAGTATGCAGGCTCTGACTCACCCCTACAATCCTAGCACCCAGTGCAGCCCCTACACAGAATAAGGACTCAGGTGCCTGTGAGTGAGGGAGGGATAGAGGGAAAGACAGGATTGGACGGTGGGGGGTGGTGACTATGTGAGTGAGTGCCAAGTCCAGCCTGGATAAGGCTGGGCTGCGGCTGGCATGGAGATTACGTGGCAAACACGTAACACTACTTGGAGAAGACCAAGCGTCCAGAAAGGGTTAGCATGCAAAGGTGTGTGTCAGGGCTGGCCAAGAAGACACCAGGAGGAGAAATGACAACTGGGCAACATGGGAGGAGGCACCAGCACATTCTTTACATTGACAGGAATAGCTTTCAAGCTTTAGAGGGGGCAGACCATATATATATATAAAGTATAGAATTCAAACTATCACCACTGTCTAATCTAGAATATTCTTTTGAACCCAACAAGAACCCCACAGCAGACTTATCTTGAGCTTGTGTCCACCCTATTCCACCCAGCTGGCCAGTCATGGCTCCGCTTCTCAGGCTTAGCTTCACTTCTCCAGGTCCAGGGCTGATGCTTCTGGTTGCCATGGTTATTCTTGGCCTGGATTCAGTTCTCCTTGCCCAGGAGGAAGCACAGTCATCCACCCATTCACCTGATGTGTGGGGCATCTCCTGGGTGCAGGGACAGTCCTGGAATACACCTGTGATGGGAGTGGGGAGCAGAAAGCAGCAGGCCGCCACCTGCTGTATGAGGAGTTCACTTCAGGAGGAGCATGGCAAGCAGAAGGTCGTCAGGAAGTCTCAGCAGCCCCTGGGACAGGTGACATAGACACACACACTCAGACTCAGTGAAGCCCCTCCCAGCACGTCATGTCCCTGACTTCTCTCCCCACTGCCCATTGTAGTAGAGCAGTGGGCTTTACTTTGCTGCCCTGATGGCTATTGGTGCTAGGCAAAGCTGAGTGCCGTGCAAGGGGAGGCAGCTTCTAGGGTATGGGAGCTCTCTGGGGCACCTTGTGACATAGCACTAAGCTGCACTCACACTCTGCACTGTCCCCTGCCTCCACTCTGCCTCTTCCTTGGAAGGGCTTGGCAGACAGATGGTCAGGCTTGGGAGCACCCCACCCAAATGTGTGTAGGGACACTCTAAAGGCAGCTGAGGATTGCATGATACATCTGGACATTAGGAAGCCTTCATCCTGGAACCCAGAGTAGTGCCCTAAATGTGGGGGGCCCTTTGGGGTCTTCACTAGCCTGGTGTCAGCTCTGCAGAAGAATGTTCTGTGGTCTGGTGGTAGGTGGGGCCTCAAGGGCACCATCAGATCCTTGCATAGCCCAAGGGCCCTGAGGCACACACTATATAGAGTGCTCCCTGGTACCTGCGACCTGAGTCTCCTGGAGACTCCTTAGAGGGCCTGCTCAGGGACCCAGAGAGGAGGGGTCCTGGGAAAACCAACTCACCAGGCCTTAGATTCCAGCTGCCTTCCTCCAGAGGCCCCAGCCACTGCCATCTGTGTTCTCTTCCATCCATAACCTTCATTTCACTTTTCTGAGCATGCCCACACTGTAGTCTTGGTGGCTCTCTCCAACCTGCTATGGTCTTCAGACTCCTTTGTACTACCAACCTCACTTCTTTCCCAGGTCAGCACAGCTGGCAGTGAAGAACTCATCCCTCATGGTCCACTTGTTTCCCCCAGGTTATCCTGAAGGATCTGGAGGTGTTGGCAGAAATTGCTTCCTCCCCTGCAGGCCAGACAGATGACCCTGGACCTCTCGATGGCCCCGACCTCCGGATCAGCCACTCAGAGCTCCAGGTGCCCACCCCTAGCAGAATCGGCTTGCTGAACAGCCCTGGTAAGTTTTCCCCTCATGGTTCTGGCCTCAAGGACCCCACAAATGCTCGTGCTGGGTCTTGTGCTTGACCAGGGTCGTCCTTTGAGCTGTTCATGAGCCCTGGAGCTCTGCCAGGTTGCAAGGTGTCCGTGGGTTCCTACCAGTGATCTGCCACCTCGAAAGGCCCCAGAGGCAGGCAGACCTCACACCCAGCTGCCCCCGGAGATCCTTACAGCCCTTCCTCATCTTCCTGCACCTGTGATGCTTTTGAGCCACCAGCTAAACATAAACCATCTGAGTCAGCTGGTCAACTCTACCTGGGCAGCGCCTCCCCAGACAGGAATCAGGGGGCTTTGGTCTTGGGTCTCACAGGTGGAAGAAGATTAGGCAGCCATTTCCTTCCGCACCAAGAAGCTAAAAATAACTCTCGTCATGGCAGGCAGCCCAGGCAAGAGACGGGATAATTCAAACCGGCTGTTTCCGGGCGGCCCTTGGAAGTAAAGGTAGCAGGGTGCTCCTAGTGCTTGCCCCTCAGTTTCTTCCAGATGGCAGGCTGGCTCTTATCCCCAGGCCCAGGCAGAGGCCACTTCCCACTAGAGGCACGATCCTGGAAATGCCCAGGGACACAAGTTGGTAGGGAAGTACACATTGAATCTTGGGTATCTGCCAAGGGTGTCTGTCCATTGAGCCCCTCCTGACATCCAGACACCAGGTCCTGGTCAGCCTACCCTTTGATGCAGAAACCAAGCAGCGCATAGATTTGGAGATCTTTCAGGGTCCATGCTGGACCCAGTCCTGGATACATACTCTGCCTCCTGCTTTGCCTCAGTGGGAGCCGCCTCAGCCCTGTTTGGCCCAGAGATCAGGCCCGATACCTGAGAAGTTCAGAGGCTCCGCAGAGGTCTGCAGAGCCCCGCAGACCTGCATTGCCCCAGGACATGCCAAGTTAAGTAACAGAAGGTCACATATTGAAGGTGTCTCCTCAATGTCACTGAAAGTCAAAGGCTCCCCAGCCCCTGCGGCAGGTATCCCACAGGAGCCCAGGCCTCAGGCCCCACCCTGCGCATGCTCTGCTGAAGCAGGGAAGAGTGAGGGGCTCCCGCAGTGGCCTAGCTTCCCCTCTCTTGTTTTCCCAGGATGCAGTTGTGTCCTTGCCAATGAGCCCACTTTTAAGCAGTCAGTGGACGTGGCTGGGAAAACGACTCCCACATCCTTACCCTGGGACCCCTGCTAGGGCTCCCACCCTCTGTACCTTGGTGTAGAGTTCATTCTCCATCCTGTGTCCCCAAGTCAGCACATTGGAAGATGGCAGGAATACCAGAGATAGAGTGTGAGGGCCAGAGAAGGGGGTGGGGGCCTTGATGAAATGGGGAAAGGAACGGAGGACTCTTCCTTAGGAAGGGAGGGAGGGTCGAGCAGGAAGAGCAGTGAGAACTGACCAGAAGGCAGGTAGCAGCCAAGAGGAAGCACCCTGCAGGGAGGCGGCTGGGACAGTAGAGCCTTGGGTGTCTGCCCTCAACTCTTCCCAGAAAGCAGGTGCTGTAGCACCTTTCCTCTTCCTCCGAGTGGCCGCAGCTGAAAGTGCTGTTCAGAGCAGGGCCCAGGACACACAGATCTCCCCAGACTTCTGTGACCTGCCCTTCATCTATAAGGTGTTTTGTCCTCTTCCTCCTGGGCACAGGGAAATTGATGACTGTGTGTGACATGTGTTCCCACTCACAAAAGGATGGTCCAGGAGACTGCTGTGGGCAGCCCAGGCTCTAGAGAATGGGTGTGTGCCCTGAGGAAGCAGGTCATGGGCCGGAGGTCCCTGAAGGGCCTGCAGCATCAAGCCCTTTTCAATGCTTGGGAAGGAGGGCTGAGGGGACCGTATGGCAGAGTACTCTGAACTTCAGCTCATGGCCCTGCCAAGATGGGAGGGCTGTAAACAAGACTGAGGTGGTAGAGCCTCCTGCCCTAGCTCACTGAGGCTGTCAGATTAGGTCACATCAGCCAGGGACTCACTCAGAATTCATAGAAAAACAACAAAGTATGCCAGATGGGAGGGAACTCTATCCTGGAAAGAACACCAAGGAAGTACCTACAGCCAATAACACTTCTTACTTCACGAATTCACAGCCATATAGCCAAGGAGGGGGTGTGTGGGTAAGAATCCACAACTCAGTGGGCAATGAGCTCTTAACCTGAGACCCAAGTATAAACTTCAAGGAGTGTGAGAACCCCTGGGCAGATCTGCATGGGTTCACACGTGCCTGTCCACAGCTGGCATTGGATTTTAGAAACGAATCTATGATTTTAAAAGGTCAGCTCAAACCAGTAATGAAAGCAAGGGAAGCCAGAGTGTGTTCTGTCTCCTCTCTCACCTCTGCTGCCCTGGGAGGGCATGCGCCAGGCACCGAGGATATGCGGGGTAGTGTTGAGGTCAAAAGCATACAGGAAGTGTACACTCATCCCTCCCTTCGCTAGCTCCTCCCAGATTACTTCTCAGGCATGCAGGGGATCATTCTGTCTGTTTCCATCTGGCCATGCACATGGATAAGACTGCACAGCCCGGCCCGCTTCCTGTTTGGATTCTGCTTTGCTCTGGCTCTCCAGGGCACAGCTCTGAGAACTTGCAGACTGCAGTACTGTGCCCCTTTTAGGGGAGATCATCCCAAAGGCATGAAGAGAGTTTCTGGAAAGCAGAGAAGGGATCCTAGCAAAGATGAAGTCAGTGGCATCTGTAGGGAACCAAATGGCCCCGCCTGTGTGTTGGGTCTTTAAACTCAAGTGGTGCAGATCGCACGCAGCTGTGGGGAAGCCAGACCCATCACACGCCTGGGCGGCTGCTTTGTTGGCCTACATGCACCGTAGCAGTGGTCCCCAGGGCCCCATGAGGCAGAGTTGCCCACACGGGATTTTCCTCTCGCCTGGCCTAGCATAAACATCTCTCCCTCCGGCACAGAGAGGCGTGGGCAGAGGCTTAGGTCTCACTTCTCCTGCCCCGCCTCTCTGGTTCCTGGCCGGCACAGAGCCCCAGGATGAGGGATAGAGGGACTCAGGGGCAATCAGGATGGAGAGCTGCCTAGGCTGGCAGACTTAAGGGAAGCTGGCAGAGGGACAGCTCATTTCCCACCTCCCAGCCCTTAGGTTTCATGTGAAACCTTCCTTTTGTACCTTCTCTGCCACTCAGGGGAGTCTTCAGAGACCCTGCCAGGCTCTGAGGAAGAGGGACAACAAACAGGCCTGCAGGCCCACCTTGACCCTGAGCCTTGTGCAGAAAACTCAGCAGGATCAAGGAGGCCTCTGGAGTTAGTCCCTTGTTAAAACAGCCTCGTCGTCCAGGGACCCCAGGAGACTCAGCCAGCCTTTGGCAGTCTGAGGCTAAAATCACCCCAACATTCAAATTTGTCTCTAAAATCCAGTCTTCTCTGACTTTTCCTGCCTGCAACGGGACTCATTCTTGGCGGGATCAAAACTGCTCACTCGGTGTACCATGCGGGGCTCACTGGTTCATGGTGTTTTATCGCTAGCTCTAAAAACAGGTAGAAATGAAATGTTCTGATTCAGTTTCTTTCATATTAGCCCATGCCAGCGTGGCCAAATGTCAACAGCATCTTCATGTCACCAGACAGAAGCAAGTTCTAGAAGAAACCCGGAAAGCCATCTCTGTGACATTTTCCATAATAACCACAGTAGCAATAATATTAGGCCAGTCATAGTGGTACGTGCCTGTAATACCAGCATTTTGGGAGGCCAAGGTGGGAGGGTTGTTTGAGGCCAGAAATTCAAGACCAGTCTGGGCAATTAAGTGAGACCCCCATCTCTACAAAAATTCAAAATTAGCTAGGTGTGGTGGTGTATACCTATAACAACAGCTGTTTAGGAGGCTGAGGTGGGAGGATTTCCTGACCCAGGAGGTTGAGGCTGCAGTGAGCTGTGATCACATCACTGCACTCCCACCTGAACAACATAGCTAGACCCTGTCTAAGACAAAGAATTATACTTACGGCGGGGGTTGGTGTCATGTTAGGACAGGCCCTGCTCTGAGCACTCACACATGCTGTCTCCTGTGAGTTAGCCCTTGGGCTCCTCACAGCAGCTCTGAGAGGCAAGCACTGTTTTCACTCCCACCTCAAACGGGGCCTGCAGCGCATACTGAAAGCCTGAGCTCCTTACCCTACATGGGAATCCCACCCTCGTCCCGCTCTGGAAGCTCCACTGCCTGAGGGAAGGAGCAGTGGGTATTTGGCTGCAACCACAGCCTGGCAGTTCTTAGGGGCATTGCTCTTCTCACAGTGACTTCAGGACCCCCATCCTGACCTCAGGCCACAGCAGTACCTCACCATTTGTCCTTCCACTACCTACTCCTGCCCTTCCCTTCCCTCCAGCAATACTAGCCCCCAGAAGGCCTTGACTGTTGCTCTTGGAGCCTTGAAGGCTCTTCTTCCCATACACCCTTCCCAGCCCTAGAAGACAAGGTGAGGGAGTATGGGGACAGGGTTCAGAGAGATCTGGGTTCACAACCTAGCTCTGCCCACCTGTCCTGTGACCTTGGACAAGTGACCTGCTTCGGTGCCACCTCCCTCTCTTTTGTAAACTGGGTGGTGGGGTGCTTGAGGGATTAGTGAGCTTCTACGTGGAAGGGGCTAAGATCAATCCTCCATGCACACAAGGGGTTGTCTTTGCTTCCATCCTGTTTATTACCGACCAGCTCGGAGGGCTCCTCTGTGAGGCTTTCCATAATAACCTGGCAGATCAGCCTCCTCTGTTCCTGCTTACCCTTCACCTGGCTGGGCCATGAGTTCACATCTCTCTCCTCCTGGCTAGGACCTCTTAGAGCCCTGCTGCAGGTTGAGGCTCCTCAGCATCATCCAGAGCTGAAATGTGAACACTTGCCCCACACTCCAGGGTCACATTTGATCAGGGTAGCCAGGTGATCTGTGTGGTAATCTCACTGTGAGAGGCACCATTGCAGACCACGGGGCCACCTTTTACTTGTCCCTGGATCCCTAATATCAGATGCCCAATAAGGGCCAGTA